ATGATAAACAACCATCGGATCATAAAAATAGGAGGAAAGAGAGAATGAAATTTTTAAAAAACTACCCAAAGGTCAGGAACTGACCGGTTTGGGGAGGTGTCGGTACTGCAAGCCACTTTAAATTGTCAAAGGCTGGATAAGAGGGCCATCTCTCCTTTCATAGTCCCACGGAAACACTAGCGGCAGAATATTAAGAGGTTGCGTAATATTTTGCCTTTAGTAATGATAAAAGAATATCCGCGCATATTCATCTGTTAAAACATTGAATAAAAAATTTGCCTTATACGCGCTGAATTACCAAAGTCTTCATTTCCTCAGGGTTTTGCAATTTAGGTATTATTTATGCCTAAAGTAATGTTTTACAGTCCTTAGTGTTCATTTGCACTTTAAATTAGGTTTGTTGAGCGTTTTTGAGTTCTGGTCGGCTCTTCTTCAAAAAATGACTAGGATGCGCACCCCATAAATGTATCAAAATTCTTTTCTGCAATGTCGTGGCAGATGAAAAATAGATTTCTAGAGTTTTAGTGTTTGCGCTTTACGTATCGCAGCAACCTTAAAAGCGATCGTTTTGGATTTTAGCACGCCAAAACAGGTGCCAGTGCACAAATTCTTCCTTTGAACCTGATGAGCAGCCCATTCCACCCGGAATCACTGATCACATACAGTCGACTCGCGATAACTCGAACCTTCAATGGAAATCGCAAAAAGGTTCGAGTCATCGGGAGTTCGAGTTAACGGGAGTTCGAAGAAAATAGCCGAGAGTAAGGTAAAAAACAGTTTTTACTGCACAGTGAACAGTTTAATCACATTTAATTGTAGAAATGTCAAGTGAAAATTAAAAGATACTTCTAGATTATAAATCAGAACGTAACGTAACAAAAGATAGCCTAAATAAAGTATGCGTTTTCCTGTTTTGAGAACAAAAGCTGCTTCACGTTAGCCTGTGACAATCAACATCCACCTCCACTAGTAAACTATACTCCTACAACACGTCAATAGGAAATCCAAAATTCAATGTTTCGGACTCCAGTAGACGGCTTTTTCCGCGACTTTTTAAGGGCGCAAAACAGAGTTCGAGTTATCGAGGGTAAAATTATATAGAAAATGACCTGAGGGGAAACGAGAATTGGTTCGAGTTAGCGCGAGGTTCGAGTTAGCGAGGGTTCGAGTTATCGGGAGTCGACTGTAGTTTGTATAGTCTCCTCTCCGTATATGGTAAATTGACGTCATAGCCTAACATGGTGATAAGACTGAAGGTAGATCAGAACGTTGATCTTGTTGGTGTTGTTGAATCCAGCATGTGTTGAGTTGAGATTAAACACTCTGGGTTCTTTCTAACCCATAGAACGTACCTTGGAATCTGTCAAGGGTACCTCTTTTTTTCTTTGTCATGTATCCATGGAAATTTTCCCAAGCCTTAGCCTGAGCATCAGTCCTTCCTAAGGGGCTAGGGGAGATGAGATTTTTTTCTCTCCCTTTTTCTCTTTCAGCTTCCCCTTTCCCCCCAGAAACGCCTGATACTCAGGCTATCCAAGCCTATTTCACCTTGAGAAAATCGGTCACACATTTTGAAAAGTTGCCGGCTTCCCCTCAGCAACAGCACTTAGCCCAAGGATAAAACGGTGTAACCGCACTTGTCAAAGTCCAATAACTACATTTATCATTAGTACTATCTTTAAAGGCTCTTGTATCAAATTCAGACGCTTGAATATACACTTGTATCAAATGAGAACAATAGAATTCATATTCAGTAAGGTCAAAACAACATAAAGAAAGTTCTTTTTCTCTTTAATTGCTGCTATAAATAGAACTTTTAAATTGCTGCGTCCTCAAAATATAAGATGCATTAGTTTGAAATGCAAGGTGCAAAAATATGAAGTCAGTTATTTTTTACCAAAAGCTGAAATAGTGAATTATGAAGAAAATAATAGAAAGATTTACTGAAATAAATTTAGAAGAGTTCTACGCTTGTAACAACAAATTTGACTAATTAAATTCTCCAGCGAGTTATCTGCCTCAAATAGTCTGTGCCATTAACCAAAAACATGACAGCGTTAATTACTAAACAAGCAAAAACAATACCCTTGCTTGTTTGTTTTGCGGCGTATGCACTTAAAAGTGCTTTATTTCTACATAACTTTCTGATCAGAATCGAGGCACTGTCACCTTTGCATTTCCCAAACTAGTAATTAAACTATAGTTTATCAAAGGTGGAATCAGCTAAAAGATTTCGTTCTTGTATACTCGAGCTTTATACCTGGAGAGGCCGGCCGCTTTTGAAGACACCGGCAAAAAAATGTGAGTACAATATGTTGTAGAGTTTCCATGAAACATTAATTTTGCCAGGGCTTTCGACTTCTTTATTTTTAATGGTTTAAGAGCTTAACGGTCATGAAATTATGTTTTTGAATACAAATACACTGAAGAGGAATGTTAAGCTTGCGGTAACAGATTTCGCACTCGGGAACTATCATGGATGATGATAGTTCTATATCATGACTATATTTCAGGTGTAGAGAAACGTTCGTACAACTATGTAATTTACTAAGAAGTGTTTAATTAAAATTGGACATAAGTACGACAAGATTTTTTCAGCGCATCGTTAACGTCGTCGCTTAGACCAAGAATGATGCTCGAAACATCTGGACATTTTCACTGAATCAGCGAATCAAAAAAACTATTTTCTGCGTGTTTCAATTGCCCACCAACGTAGCAGCTGGTTTCTTTACAATATGAAATCGGTTCACAGAAAATTATCTTTGCCAAGTATACTTGTTTGAATTGTTACGAACTCTCACACATTAATCCCCCCGACTGGCAATGATTCGTCGAGATTCGGTCATGCCCGGTAAGTTATGACAGCGCAACATCATGACAAACTATGCCTGAGCCTGTTTTAGAGTCGTACAAGGTCGTACAAGGCTCCCGGGGTGGGGACTCCGTATATGAAAGGGGTGGGGATGCTCGTCGTCTCGCTTAAGGGTGTAAATTTGGGATTTTGGTCTCCCTTAGAGTGTTCTAGGCAAAACACCATTACATTTAACCGTAAAGGTCTCTTTTAGGGTTGCACTCGAAGAAATATTAAAAAATTACATATTTTCAAATCGTTTTATTTACTCGATTCATGTAATGAAAGTTTAAAATGATCTCTTTTAGGGTCAAAAAAGGGTTGGGCCACGTCCAGATTGGTCTCCTTAAGGAGTTTAATTCAAAATTTCCGACGAGCATCCCCACCCCTTTCATATGCAGAGTCCCCCCCGGGACAAGGCTCTATATATGTGTATGCTGTCTTCATCATTTTCAACAACTCTGCATGGCATTGCTTGGTTAGTGGTTTAAGTTGTCGAGCAGCCCCGTAGGCATACTTAACTTTCGGATGTCGAAGCTAAAGATTGTAGTTGTTGTCCAAGTGGCTGCCTCTAGTTGATATGCTGTTTGCATGCGTTACGGGTAGGTACTGGCCAAGCCGTGGGTTGGTGTACCTGAGTCACTTTCTCTTTTAAAATGAGTTTGTCTTACGTTGTATACAACCCAGAGAAACTTGCTGGAGAGTAGAAGTGTTTTGCAAAAGAAGCATTATTTGAAATTGATGAGTCGCGCGAAGCCTTAACTTCATGTAACGTGGAGCAGAGACCTGGTATCGCATCTACTGAGTTAAGTTTGCGAAGGACCTTACACCATTTTTAATAGTTATTATTCGGCATCGGATTCTTAGAGTGTTATTTCACGCCTGCTTGCCTCCCCTTCAAGATGGCGTCGCAAACCGAGATAAGGTTAACTCAAAACTCTTTATCACCATGGGAACATACCATGAGAGGATCTAGAACTTTATTGGTGAAAAGATCAAGGCCAGGGGAGGGGAGGGAGAGATTTTGCCTCAGGCTTCAGTGCCAGAGTTTGAAAAGAACCTTCGACTGCGTCACTTCAAAAACGTCACTTATTAAAAGAACACACGTTCTTTCAAACTTTTTTTTGTTATTATTCCAGCTCGCTTAATGTAGCAAATGTACGCGAAAAGCTTCACGCATACGAATTCCTTAAGAAGCGTATGGCACGAATCCAAGTTTAAAAATAAGAAGACGTTACTTGTGTGTTTACGTCTTCCATCAAATGTCCTTTTAAGGACATTCACGTCATATTAGAGCAGTGATGTACCAAAAAGTGTGATGCACGTGCAGGGATGTTACTTTGTTTTTATGTCGTTACTTACGATCCGACAACGGCGATGTCCTTGAAAACGTTCCTCAGAAATACTGTCTCTTCGCGTCCTTGAACTTTCTCGCCACTATTTCAAGTTGTTCAGCCATTTAAAAGTCGGGAAGTTAAGTCTGGGCTACGTTAATTTGAGAGGAGCGCGTCCGAGCTCAGAAAGTAAAGATTTCCGCCTTGCCGTTTACTTCCTCAGACTTAAGATTCGGTCACTTCATGTCCTAGTTGTGGAGGAATCGAACAGCAAGGAAATAAAAAGAAAAAAAGCTTGCTCACGTACGGAGTTGTTGTTTTCTCTCTTAACCTATTAGATCGTATTGTTCGTTCTGGTTGCCGTCTCAGTCGAAGTTTTGTAAGGCGCCTATTTTAAGCTCCCTACTTCATTATCTGACCTTAATCTGCCACGAGCCATTTCAGTTTATCGATCTCATCATTTCGTCTTAAAACGTGTCTTTCCTTGCGTCCTTATCTCTTAAGCAGGATATACGTATACGTGAATTATTGAAACTTCATCCAGCTCTTATTTTTTTATTTTTAGTGGTTTTTCTTTAAATTTCTTGACCCTAGAACTGATCACTACAGTTAATCACAATTCAGCGATTCTTGTCTTTTAAGATACGATTTTGGATTACGAGTCCTCGACGGAATCATATCTAGAGATCTCCAGTTAGTCCGGTAAGAAAATAAAAAGGTTTTTCTTATAGAATTACTATTACATACCTAAAGTTTTGTAATCTCTGTTTCTTAATAGACCATGACTTTTAATTTCATGGATAGATATGCAGTGTCAGATGTTGAGTCATCCGTTTTCTACATTAACCGATTGGTTAGGCGCCTGTTAGTTAAGCTTGGTGACAAAATTTTATGAGCAATCTTTGGCTATTTTTTTTGTTTTCGGGCATGCGCAGGGATCAATTTGTTTTTAAACAAATAGTGTTCTGAAGCTTTTAAGCTTCATTTATGACATACAGCCCTTAAACGTTCTCGTGGCCAACGGCGAAGTGGCTGCTTTAAAGCTCTCAAATAGGAACGAATACCACATAAACCGGTTAAATTAAATACTTGCAGTCTTTTGTTAGCCTACTTTTCGTTAAAAAATTGGCTTATTATGTAAGTATTGAGTGATTAATACTTTCGTGCATAGATGTTTGTTTGTACGTGCAGATTGTGTAAACAGAAAATGACATTTTTTTACTTGAAAAAGTTTGCATATGCATGGGAACATTTGAATGCACGTTTTTTGTTCTGGAATTTACGTTTATGACCCCCCTTGGGTTCTTGTAATCAAATTGCGCTTGCCAAGGTTCGAACACGCCCACTTGAACTGCCGAATATAATTCACATGAGTTGGTGGACAGTTCTGACGTCTTCGTGTGCAGAGCAACCGACCTTTATGGGTCAACGAAGACGAAGAAGTCTGGAATTGATAATCCAAATAATAAAGTTTTCGTGACTTGTATAAACACTTGCGTAATGCATAGTGGGTTAAACCCTCTTCATTAAGACAATTGCTTGTCAGATAAACTTGTCAAATTTTAAATGAAGCTTACAAAATTATCAGTTTAAAAGCTCTCCATTGTCATCCCACGGGGAGCCTTATTCAATACTTAGGTTAAATTTCCTCGTTGAAGTCTCTCAGGAAATTGTTAAAGGGTGGAGATGGCAGTTGGATTAGTTGCGTGAGGATATTAATGTTGTTCGTTTAGTTGTGGTTAAGGATGCTAAATTGTGGAACTTCCTGTTCTTGGAAGGCTAACAAAGTTGCTTTTAATTCCAAATGTTTACCGAGCGTGGCACATGTTAGCAGATTTATGTGGGTGAATCTGTGGAGCGGAAAGTAGAGTCACGTCTACTCTGGAGTTATTAAGGATACTGCGATCAGATATATAAACCAAACCGCAAAAAAAATTCTTGGTAACTGCGTTGGGCATAACTAAGTGGACATTTAGATCTTTCAGTTCAGCTGTTCATTGCTGGTGAGTAAAAACACTAAAATTTCACACCTCACTCGGAACACTTTCTGATTTGAGAGGGCAATCTGAAATTTATCTATTTAATTTATCCTTGTTATCTCGCCTTCAGCAAGATGGAAGAAGTATGGTTGAAAAAAAAATCGAAACTCAATGGTATCCATTAGCTTACTTATAAGTCGCCTTTCCTAAGCATGCTGCCACACTCCAGGCTATTTTAGGGCAATTCAGACTCTTTGGCCTTCACAGTACCTCTGATAGCGATCAATATCCACTCATTTAAAGTTTCGTCAAGTATGGCATTCTTTTTAATAAGCCTGTTTTATATGGTACATTGTATTTTAAGTTCACCAAAACACGTTTTCGCATGGATGTATCATTGCTTAATTTGCACATTAATTTTATGAGGGTCTTAATGTCCTCTTTGAAACACCTGAAAATCTACGTCAGTCAGTTTTTATTATTTATCTTCAGATATCTCTCCAACAGTGTCTCAACTCTTGCTAAAGACGCATTGCAAGAGGAAGTCTGTTTCGTGTCTTAATGTTGATTCTGTGGTGTTAATGGTTTTGTAATACAAGCATAAACTGACAAACCACATCATGGTAAAAACAATCATTTTTAAAATCACGTCATCCCATTGGCTCGTCAGTGAATTATGATATTACTGACACTGTAAAAATCAGATGGACGAAAACCGTATTAAAACAAAATCGCTTTTACAACAAACAATGGCTTTCTTTTCATTTCTTAAAAGTCACAAATTGCAAAATGTTACTTAAAATAACCATGGAAAATATATTTAGTTTGCAAATATTGGGCCTTGTTGTTTAAAGCGAGCTAAAAGACACGTGTTCTAAAGACCGAAAAAAGAAAAAGAATTTGTCATTTTTTTGCGCAGTAAGCAGCTGCCAGTAATGATTTGAGCGATCTTTTTAGTTCAATCGCTTTAGTTAATATAAATATTCAAAACAATAAAAGCAAAGTTTTCTTTAGAAATATACTCTCCGGAAAAAAATAGTCTAGACGAGGTGAGGACACGGACTGTAGCTCTCAGATTAAATTTGAAATACTCTTAAATATAGATAGTATAAGAAACGGAAATCCGTTCGTTGTATTAAGCTCAGTTGTAGGAAAATTGGCTACCGCTAAAATATCTCTGGCTGATACCTGAACGAATATTAACAATTTTTGGCCTCTTTAAGCTCTCGTCGTGGACTAAAAAGCACCTTAACTAAGATTTTTAATGTCTTTTTATTGATTACTTAACTTTTTATCTCCGCATGATTACAAATGAACTTTAGTGATTAAAAGTTCTTATTGCAACCTACCTCGGTGTTGTGTTCGTTTTAGTCCATTTATATCAGCGACTCGTTAGCTGGATTATTAGAATTCCTGCGCTTAATTATTTTCATCCCCTTCATAGGTAAGTCAAGCATGCAGAAGTGTATTGGGCTAGTCAGAAATCTTTCGTTATATCTATATCATTTGAATATAAAAACTATTTGAATACAGTATGACGTAGAACTAGCAGTGTTTTTGTCCATTCTACGGCGATTTGTATTCCGTGAATTGAAGAACAAATTTTTTGATACCAACTTGGCGTGGTTAAAAAAACCTCCCGTTTATTTTCTACCTCGCATTCTAGGTCGAGTCTGAAGGTCGCTAATATTGATCTTAATTAAGACTTTCATATAGATAGTATATTCAGACTCTTAATTAGTTATCTATCCTACTCACGAATACTGAGGTTGGATTCCAAAGTATTACTGACGTACTATTTCATAGATGGAACTCAAAATTTCAAAATCAAATATAGTTCAGATCAAGGTAACTACAGATCTAGAGTTTGATATTTTCTATTTTTTTTTCTCAGCTCACTATCAGGAGCACACAGCATGCCTTGGTACGATGATGATGAAAATTTTGAGCAGGAACCTCTTTACAAACCACTGTTTCAAGCTGGGCCTTGCACGGATTTTCGAGAAAAGAACCCTTATATGTGCACCCTAGGGATAAGGATCCCTTATGAGCAGGAACAGGAATTGAAGTCACTCTACAGCCCCTTGCTACAATGGATCGACCCCGCATTCCAGCTGATACAAATCGACCAACAACACAAAGGTGCCGTTGTTTTGTCGCACGAACAGGATCACCTGACAAATATAATCGAAGACACGTACACCAGTGAGCATTTAACCACTCAGTCTCTGAGCGTTGTGTTGTTTTTACGCGAGGAGACAAAGTATCAACTGAACGCTCGATTTGCAAAAGACTACTTAGAATGCCCTCCTTGGGTTTTCCACCATAAGATCGAACTGGCCAGCCGCACAACCTTGCGTTCTGTAGCTCGGCAAGATTATTACGAGTCTTCTCCAGACCTCCCTCTCTGGACTGTTTGCTCAGTTCACTACGGAAACGAGCAACTGAGATTTAATATTTTTGTGAGAGATTTTCAAGAAATGAAAGAGTTTTACAGTGTGCTAACAGGAACTGAACCAAGCGCATGCAAACCAGGATTCTGCACATTTGATCTTTATTCTCAGCCTGGTCTAGATATAAAGCTATCTTTGAAGTACTCGCCTCGTTTACAGCCTTATCCGCCAAAGCAAAGCCTGCTTAAGTTCAATGTGCCTTACATTCTAGACATTAAAGAGAGGCTCAACCTAATTTTGACGCCATACGGGAACAATAGGTGGCTGACACGTGATCCCGATGGTAACGATATCGTTTTGTCCCGTCGCGAAAGTGAATGGTGTGATGAGTGTCTCGGCGAGGAACAGTTTACAGAGGTGTCTGATAGTGGACAGTGGAGCGAGACACCCAGTGAGGACTCTTCGTGGGAGATGTGCAGTGTTACGGACAGTGACGATTTCTCGTGCGAGAGCGGCTGTGACTCTCTCTCGGACTGTGGCTGGATAACCGTTTAAAAAAGCTTTATAAGGAAGCAAGCATATACGAATCATTCTCTCTTTAGTTAAAGCGCGAACAAAACAGACAGAGAATCTGATTACATATCAGGCGTCTTTACAACTTAACCAAAGAAGCACGTCGATATCTATTTTGAGATACTTCCCATTCTTAATGGAACAGTATCCCGTTACTGCGCATGTACCAAAGTTGTCAGATCATTACATAACACAAATGTAATACTTTCGGCTCATCTTCGTATTACTCATAGCTGACGTAGAACAAAGACAACAAAACATCCTTAATTAACAATGAACCTCACCCTAACAATAGTCCATAAAACAAAGACAACGAATGAATTATATTATTATATAAACTGCAGTGTTTTACAGAGATTTCTACCACCGTTCACATTCGATATCTCACTCGTTCGCTGCGCTCACTCGTTCGATATCGATGTGAACACTCGAAGATAAATTCCATATCGCCGCGCGACCATGTATTATTCTCTATTTACACCGGGGATGACCGATAATTTCTGTGAATTAGTTAAACCTGCTGTGTATAAAGATTGCTTTCAGTTTCAACTTTAAAGGCGGTGGTTTATAAATCAAAAACGATCTCTAGATAATGCGAGCTCTGCTCGAGAAGAGCTAATAAACCATTCTATAATTGTCCTAGCCTTTGAATGAACGGGAAGCTGAGGTCGACCTTCTTCCTTCACTTTCGGACAGTTTTTATATGTGATGAAAAAATGCTAGTCGGCATGCGAACAAGATGATTTACACAATAAAGCAGGAAGCTGGTTGTAACAAAAGAGAGTCAACTCCAGCCTCGTTTCCACCTGTAAATATAAATGAAATAAAGACTTTTTTTTCACATGAAGTCACGTCCTTCATCATTCGTGTCACAAAACAATGAAACGGCGGCAATGTTGGTCCACCTACCCCTCCCTTAAGCCAACATAAACAGTTACTTCTCACTTAGGGCAAAATGTTGGCTTAGGGGGAGGGATAGGTGGGTAGTTTCCCCAGAACCGATAAAGATCCTTTTCTCTTATGTAAACACTTTCTCTTTTTCCAATAAATCTGCATAGTTACTGCCCATGGGAGTGAAAAGGTCTTATTATCAGGAGGTGCGACTTTCCATGATAAAAGCCAGCCTCTTCTTTAGCCTTTTACTTCCAGAGTGAATGTTGGGTGTCTTGGTGGTGGTTGCGCGGTATAAATAAATGTTATTATTATTATTATTATTCTACCTTTTGCGCGAAATCCTGCGGCGTGACCATTCATATGAAACCTCTTTGATAGTACTTTCACATGGTACTATTTTTTTGTGAGATTTTTATGAGTGAGACTGTAAAACTCTTTGACTACGTTCTAGGTGAATTACTTTAGCCAATGGAGCGTTTTCACTCACGTGACCAGCATCTATGCAAATTTATTGGGAAAAAAGAAAGGTTTATGTAAGAAGAGTTCAACACCCACGGGACTGGTTTGAGACACCATCACGCTGCTATCGTATTGTTTTTGAACACCAACCTGATGTCATGTGAAAAGGTTCCATAATAGGAGTGAAAGAGTTTTAATGGCGTCTCTTTAAACCGGAGACCTCCCCTAAAACTCCTTACCTTGATAGACGAAGGGCCTCTGCCGCCAGACTTCACTCATTCTCTCTGTCCCTCTACATTTCGGACATCTTTTTATATAAGACATTCATTTCCGTGTTTGAGAGAGTTAACTGGATAGAGGCTCGCTGACCTTAGTTCTAAAAGTTCGATTCAACTCTTAGTTTTCTCTTTACAAAAGGTGCTGATATGTTGTTAAAATATTTATGTGCCTTTATTAAAGCAGATTATGTCGCTCGAAATCAATGGCCAGGAATGCGCATTGCATTCAAAGTTAAATCATCATCCCAGTTGATTCTGTAGCCTACTAGCAAGCTCTCTCTGGAGTGCAGGCTATTGATTTGGCAGAACACGCAATGAAATGCATCAGTTATACCTCAGAAACTCTAACCTGTTGACAATATAAAGATTTCAATCTTATGTGGTCAGTAAAATGATTGGGAACTGGTTTTTGCCATTTTCAGCAATTTTTTCAAATTCCTTTGGTAAAATAATTAAATAACTTTTTAAAGTTTTTTTTTATGTATTCAATTATTTAAATTAATTGTCTTTTTTGCGACTAACGGCTGGTCACGTGATAGCCTGCACTGCAGGCGTATTTTATGGAGCGAGTAAGCGATGTTTTTTCCGTGTATGGTCGCCACCTTGGATTCTAAAGACAGAGGAAGCTTGGGAAAGTGGAAAACACTATCCGTAGGATCCGCCGACCACAAAACCCCTGTTCCTACCCCCAATTGCTGACCTTTTCGCCAAAACTCGAGAGAATTCTGTCAACTACCCCTCTGAACTCTCCCCCCCTCCCGATCCATCCTCGTCCATCTAGAGGGAAAAGCCTGAGGATGAAGGTGCCCCTACTCCTACCTCTGCTTCTTAATTTGAGACTTGTTTTTACTTAGACCGTCTCTATAATATCAAACAATACAGCAGTTCTTGGGTTTCCGTGACAGCCATACTTTTAGTTTTCCAGAGCCTTTATTCCTTTTTTTTTTTTCTGTATCGAGATTTTATAACTTCCTTGATTCTGGATAGTTCACATACCGTAAATCCTCCGATTAAGCCCCCCTGGGGGGCTTAGTTATTTCAGGCCCATTTGAGGGCGGGGGCTTAATAGAGAAGGGGGGCTTATTTAATTTAAAACAGACGATGGTTTTCATTTTTCCATAAAGAACTAGAATACAAAGTAGAAAAGTTGGAGGTCATGCAGTCGAGGATCAGAATCAAATCCGAACTTTCAATTGGTAAATAAACTATAACGGATCAGTCCACGCAAAGTTTTACAGTCGTGATTAATTAATACTTTCTGCCTATCATTTATTAGTGACTGGAATAATCAGGGGAGGGGAGGGGGGCTTATTAACTTATTCCCCTGAAAAGGGGGGAGGCGCTTATTTGAGAGGGGGAGGGAGCATAATAGAGGATGAACGCTTTTCATATGCCATGTAGTCTCATCGCACACTACCCGACTGTACAGTGGTTTCTTCAGCATAAACCACCCACTCATCCCATGGTTATAACCCCAACAGCATGTTGTGGAAAGTCTTTATCACTACACACGCAATCCCCGTCACTATTGGTTGAAAATCACGTGCACACAGCGCACAAATGACGTCAAAGTGAGTACTGTGCGAAGTTTGTCTGATTTTTTTTCTTCAGTTTTGTAATTTTAATGACAAAAGTCAGGCAAGCATTACATTTTTTTATGACAAAAGTCCAAAAAAAGTGACGAATTCGCTAATAAATCTCAATACACATTATTCACGATATCCGCCATCTTTGAAAGCGCTTGAAATGGCGGTCCAGTTTGTTTGTTCGATTCTAGACGAAATAAAATGAAGAACTCATTATCTTAAAGACGATAATGTTAAATTATGTTTGGAAGTGATCATTGCAGTTACTTTTTTGGATGCAGTCGCGACCGTAGATCACCTAAAAGCAATAATAACGTGGAGCTTGTGGAACTCAAACTGTACATTTTTCAAGTCAAAGGTTTTTGAGAAAAAGCACATAACAGCTATTCTAGACATAAAATCCCCTCACACACCCTAAATTGTCTATTTCCCAGGAACACTTTCCTTCCAAGGACAAATTATTTTATCAAAATCTCCCAGCCAGCAAAGCTTTCCCCGTAGAACACATATTTTAAGGAACAGATCCATTGGGTGCCCCTACACTATCAAGCTACACAAGCAAAGCGAGGTTTAAATTGAAACATGCTTGTTTTCACGTATAGCCACAATAATAATGATAAAGAAACAATTGTAAAATCTCAGGTCAAAGGTTATCAATTGCCTTGGGCAACTCAACATTTGGGGAGTGGTAACAGCTTCAGTGCTATCGGGATCCTTTCAAACTGAGTGCTATGGAAGGTTCCAAAATTCTCACTATCAAAGGAAATAGGGAATAAGAACTAGAACTAGAACTTTAGAATGGAACGTCGAATTACGATGTCTTGCACAGAAGTTCACCCCGGCTCGGCCACGATATTGGTGTTCAGCGGAAGGACACCAACATGGCATTTGGAAGCAAAAAGGAACATGCGACTGGGAAATTCAAAAGGCTGTATTCCTCAACGATGGACCATTTCGAACTGAAAGTTCGTACAAACTCAACTGTTGTGTAGTTCGGATGAGAGTATTTTCAATTATTTTTGTGATGGAATTTGATTACGTCACATATTAACTAGAGAACCTTTGTCCTTTAAAATAAAAGAACAAATTTTTACTCGTAAATGGGAAGTAACTGTCAAAGACGACTCTTAGCTCTCGCCACAGTGGTTGAATGGTTAAATTCTTAGCTTAAAAAAAAGAGATCATTTAATTATATTGATATTAAAAACCATGCCTGTCGCTCCAGAATCTGTCGCATTGATTTCTTTTGGAATAATAAAAAAATTCTCCGAATCTGAAACCAATTGGCTCTCTGTCCTCTCCCCATCTAAGTGCTAGCTGACATAGTGTGAAAAAAAAAAAATACAAATATAAGATGGCTTACCGAAGGTTCTTTTAAAACCGCCCCTTTACTATTTTTCGTTTTGTAAACACCCTAATGAATTACTGATAATAGAGAAGAATATCAATCCTGTGATGAATATAAATGTAAGAGACCTAAAGGGTAGTTAAACAAGAATGCATGTTTGACAATAACACAGTTATAAGATACACGTGGTTGCTCGAAGTCTAATCAGAATTAACTTGATTATTCTTCTGGTATTCCTGTGGTACACATATTAATTCGAGATGTATAATAAAATGGCAAGAAAAAGACGAAAGATCGCCAAAAACTGTAGTCTCTTTGGCTACTGCCGTGAGAAGATATGGGCTTCAACAGTGCGATATACTTGCGCGTCGATGTTATTGTATAAAGAATTCAACAAACAGTAACCCCAAAAGCTTA